GCGCTCCCGTTACGCTTTATTACTGCGTTCTGCGTATTTCTTCGCGTATACTATTTCGTGATTGCGTGTATTATTTCGTCGACATATATTATTACTTTTCGCGTATTTCCTAGCGTAGATCTTCCGTGTAGTATTTCGTCAGCGTATACTATTACTTTTCGCGTATTTCATAGAGTATTTCTTGCGTGTATTATTTCGTCGTCGTCATTACTACGGTCGTGCCTTTCACCGCGTGGATTATTTCTTGCGGGTATCAGCTCGTTGGCGCATATTATTAGGTTTCGCGCATTTCACCGCGTAGATTCTCCCTGACGCGAATTCCTCCGTTGGACTATATTATTGCGTCTCGCGCACTCCCTAGCGTAGAGAGTTCCTTATGGCGAAGACCAGTTACACGTACGTTTTCCGCGAATATTAGTTCTGCGGCCGAGTTATTTACAACGCGCGGACCCTTCGAAAGACCTTGCGTGGTCGGGGGACGGCGAGTGATCGCGGCGAATATTTCGCTCGCGTCCTGCAAGTTGTAACGCTATTATCAAACTTTTTCTTATATTATATTTTGATTTACATGTTACTGGAGTACTTTCTTTTGTGTTTGTTTCGCCTCGCCAAGGTCAAACCCCTCTGCATTCAGCCTATGTAAGGACCACGACCTTCTAACGAAATTTCTGAGCAGTCGTTGCGATCGGTCAGAGCGGATGTGTCATGACGTGTGAATTAAGAGTTGTGTCGATAATTAGAGTTTATGTCGGATCTTTGTAGAGTTCATTTCGAGTACTTTTCGCGGGTTAGAGTAAACGGTGGTGTGGCCGTATCCACACCTGGCCCCCAACATTGTTTCGTATCGCTTTCGAGATCCGCTCTGTCACCCGATCATATATTTGCTACGCGCTTTAGTCCCGCCTCCCGCCTCGGGGAAAATCATATAGAGAATTAGCGTCGCACCATATAAAACTTTTTGAAAAATATTTTATTATTTTTCTACATGTTTATATTTAATTTCCAAGGTCGCAAATTTTACGATTAAAAAAAAAATCCATTTTTAGAGACAATAATATTTGATCGATTTTCTTCAAAAATCATGAAACTTCACTTTGCAAAAAAAATATACTTTTTGGAATCAATCGTTATGACGTTAATTTCTTCTTAAAGTACAACTCTTGACCTTTCGAATTATGTATTATAAAACCCTTTTATTTTTTTTTAGTTAGTACTACGTCAATTTAAAAAAAAACAAATTTTTTCGCTTTTTCAGAAAAACACGTCTTCCTTTTTTTTTAAATAACATTTACGTTTTTTAATTTGGGATAATCTGACCTAAACAGTCTTGTAGATCTTTAAAAGATGTATCGATTAAAAAAAAATGACTTAAAATTGATGCATTTGTCTTAAAGATACAAGCTGGAGAAGACGGCAGGAGTTTCTCAGACCCACGTGAGGTAATATCGGGTGTGAAAACGTAAGGTAACTGAGGGTTAATAATGTTTTAACAGAATAGAAAAATATCATTGGTTAAACGCGATACGCTGATGCCGTTTTAAGTACCATATGCATTAAGGACATTCAATTTTGCGTAACAAAAAACGCGGAACGTCTCTGATTGGTTACGCGATACTCGTTACGCGGAAAATATCAGTTCATGGAACCGCACCCTAACGAAAATTCGACCAATATGCGTACGGCGTTGGCGAGACGGCTTCTTTTTTTGGCACGGTAGTAAGTTCGATTCACGTTACGAATAAGCGACACGAATTTTGGGAAACGAAAAGTGTAACGAAAACGAAAATTCGACCAACAGGCATATGGCATTAGCGAGACGGTTCCTTCTTTTGGCACGGTAGTAAGTTCTATTTTGCGACATGAAACTCGAAAGTGTAACGAAAATTCGACCAATAGGCGTACAAGATGAAACTTCTTTGGCACGATAGTAAATTCAATTGTGCTACACGAAAAAACGTCACGAAAGTGTCACGAAAATTCGACCAACAGGCGCAAAGTGAAACTTCTTTTGGATCGGTAAGTAAGTTCGATTTTGCGACTCGAAAACGCGTCACAAAAATTCGATCAGGCGTACGACAGTGGCGAGACGGATATAGTGAGAACTGCGGGTAACACTACATTTTTGAGTTGCGGGCGACTTGGAGTGACTACGTCCGTTGTATTGTTTTTGTATTAATTTCAGAAAAGTTATGGCAAAGCCTTGCCTTTTCAGAAGTTCCACTTCTAACGCGCGTGGCGACCACGCGTTCATTTTTTTCTCAAAATTTGTTTTACACAAAATAGGTACATAAAATATTTACCAAAAATATTGTTGTTATTACTAATTTTGTGAATAAAATTAATATTTTTAGACACCAAAGTGTAAAATCAACTTTTGTCATAATAATAATGGACTTGATTCAACTAATATTTTAGCATACTTGTCTACAATATGAATTGCGATACAGATCACTTTCTTGTTCTCTTTTTTCACTACATTTATGTGAGCGTTACTTCTGTAGTAACTTAGATAATTCACTCGTTTACAGAAAATGAATTATCGTAAGTTACCACAGAACCCCGTTTACGCGGAGGAATTATCGTAACGCTTGCGTAAATATAGTATGATAGCGTGCTGAACCGGCTGAACGCACTATCTGCACTGAGCGCAGAATGCACACGTACATAGATATACTGTCACTGCGACAATGCACTGCACGGTCTGCACGGGTATCACTGCCCTCTTTTGTCAAAAATAAGAAAGTGACATTTCTGTCGCCATTTTTGTCCGACAACGACGACGACGGACGACGACGACGTGGACGTTTTTTAAAATGTAATTTTCAGATTCGGACTTTGCGTCGCAATATCTCCGCTCGTTGGGCACATAGTGGAAAAATAAAAACACTTTTATTATATAAATTTGATCTAAGCTATTTGATCCATTAAGCCTAGATAGAACTTGATCCGTTCACTGGTTATTGAGATCTCAAAATCTCGGGTACTTGCAACTCGTCACGTCGCGTAAAAGATCCACGGTGCGGTCTCGCTTCGCGTATACTTGACGCGAGATACTACCGTGTTTCTTGATCCTTGAGTTATAATCGTTAGCATTATTTTTCTTCAATATTATTAATAATGTTATAAAATTATTTTAAAAGAGCTTGTATTTGTAAAGAAAGAGAGAAAAGAGTACTTACACCTTTGGTAACAAGATAATATGCCATATCGGTTGCAAGCATATCAGATGTCAAAGCATTCTTACAATCTTCTCTATTTATTTTCAAGGTACTTAATGCTTTCTCAGCAATATGGAACATTTGATATAAAGTATCATATGTATAAAATAATATCTCTTTATCTTCTTGAAGATCTTTGTTGTATGTTGATGGAATTCCTTTCAGTGTTATCATAAATCCGGTACACTAAAATTATAATATTATACGAATAAATACATTTTTTAAATATTTCTTCAAAATTGTTTATCTATAAAATATTCGGAAATTAATAGAAAAAACTAAACATGTATTATAATTTCTTATAAAGTTAAAAGATTATAATACCATTAATAATTTTGACAATTTTAATAGTACAATTTTACAAATAAAAGTATTATAAATAAATGATTTACATAGGTTGTACATAAAGTAGCAACACTGTCATAAGAGGTATTTGGTAACTTTAATATTATTAATCAATCTAAGAAAAATGGAACGTTGAGCCGTAATAAGGTGTTAATGTTCATACATTCTATACTTTAAGTGAAGAAGTAACGAATTATAATGTACATACTGTACATATACATATATTCTAACTTAATAGACTGCGCGCTGCTGTCGGACTCGAAACACAGCTATCTTGGAACATTAATACCCTTCCCTCCCCCGGAATTAAATCAACGCAATTTTTCGCAATAAATTTTTTAAACAATTGAATCGCGTTGATTTAATTCCGGGGAAGGTATTAATGTTGTAAGATAGCTGTGTTTGAAGTCCGACAATTTGCGGCGCGCAGTCTATTAAATTAAAATATATGTATATGTACAGTATGTACATTATAATTCGTTACTTCTTTACTTAAAGTATAGAATGTGTAAGGTAGGATGTCAGGCGAAGGTGCGTCGGTTCCCACAATAACGAATCGTTTAGTTAAGTAAAATCTTGCTCTATTTATTCATGCTCTATATACAAGTAGAATACTTCTTGGATGTGTACGGATAGGTGGACGTGTGTGTAGGAGATTAATGTGTAGTGTCAACGCGGTGTGTTGCGTATTGTCCCGAACAGTCAGATTCGAGGAGGCTGAGCTTGGAGGGGAATGTTGAAGTCCTTGGACACGAGCCCAGTATGTGCGTCATCACAGAGTGCTCCGGTTGGAGCTGGATGCTCGGGTACTCGGCTTTCACGGGAGGAAAGTATCCACCTTGGAGATCAGGAACAGACCCTTTGTCTTGGCCTCAGGTACAGGAATCGGAGTCGGAATTGGAGTTGGAGAAGGCGGCGCCTCGGTGTTGTCCGGTGTTGTCCGGTGTTGTCCGGTGAGCTGGGTCGTAACGACCCAGGAAACCTTTCCACGGCAGAGAGTCTGTCGACTCTTACCGAAGAGAGTTAATGCCCTGCAAAGCAGGCATAAACGAAGGCCCGGAATGAGGGGGAATCTGCAATATTCCGAGAGGTAATAGCATTGATGATTCTAAGCGAAAAGGATCATATTGTTGCGACTCTAGGGCGACCCATTCTCTTCTTCGGGAACAGTCCTCCGGATGCTCGACGCAGTTCAGATGCTCCTCTTCGGTCTCCCGAATTGACGTCTTCCTCGGCCGTCGTTGCCGCTCCTCCTCAAAGTCTTCGGAAAAGGGGTGAATTACTGTTTGTGGACCCAACGTCTTTAAGACTCCCCGAATCCCTGTCTCGGCATTTGGCCTTCGTCCCACGGAACAACCACAACTTAAAAATCGTGAGCAAGACAGTCTTCTTAAATGATTCCCTTCCGAAAAAGTCTTGGACGATGTTTTGCCGCAGTAGCTCAGGTCGGGATCCCAAAAGCCTCTCGCAAACTATAGACTTTCTCTGGAGAAAAACAAATATAACACGCAGTAAACACCGAACAAAACAACTTTCTAAATTCAAGGAATTCAATATTTTTTACAAAAACTTTTTATTTAAAAACATTCATAAAAGTTGAGCTCACTCCGCCGAGCTCAACTAAAACGCATTTCCCTCTTCGGGGCATTCAGATCGAAAATGCCCCGTTTTCCTGCACGTCCAACATTCTCTTCGGTCGGCGCCAAATTTGCTGCCAGTTTCCCTTCTGGCTTTTCCCACCTTTCCCTTTTTCCTCTTCCGTTTCCACTCTTTTTCCTTCTTGTCCCTTTCGCGCGTCCTTCCTCTCCAATTTCTCAAAATCTTTACCAAAATGTTCTCCCTTTCTTTCGAAATTCTCCCCCGAATAATTTTAATTGCTTTTGTCCTTTTGACATCTACTTTTAAAGAGGTTACTCTCTCCAGCTGGAGAATCCTCCTCAGAAAATTGTCAAATAAACCCAAAACAAATTGCGCACACGCGATTTTGTCTCGTACCGCGAAGGAACACTCCAAGTACTAATCGCGAAAGTCTTTCTAGCTCTGTTCCTAGGGAAACCAAATTCTCCCCAAATTTTTGTCTACGGCGCGAATTGCGTGTAACAATTTTTGCGATAAACCTCCCTTGCCGAAACGCAACTTCGATTTAAGTTCCTCAAAACACAGGCTTTCTAAAATTTTTATTGACTCTAAAACCTTCCGCGCTTTTCCTCTGAAGCTCACGACCAACACAACGGATTTGTACGCGTCGTCCCAGTTATTTGCGCGCGCAATGAGAAAAAATTGGGAGAGGAATTCTCGCAGCAGCGTCGAGCCATCATACGTGTCGGGCTTCAACTTGAAGCCTAATTTCATACGCGCACAACTTCCGCGCGTTTTCTCCGCGGCGGCTTACGCTCTCGCATCTCCAGAATTTCCGCGCGCAACTACCGCCTGCGCTCCCGTGTCTCCGGTCGCGTTAAATAAAGAGGGACTTAGCTGCAGTCTCCTGAAATCGGCGGAACTCCTCATATTGTTGGGTCAACAATCGGCGTATTCCTCGTCTCGCCGATGTAGCGAAGCAGCGAATTCCTCCTCTTTCCGCGCGTGCTCTCACGCAACAGCCGCACTTCTTAGATGACGGCTTGCAGAGTCGCTGCCATCGTTGTCGCTTTCGAGACGTCCGGCTAAAGCCCCTTGCACAAACGCTATCGCTATCGTTTATTGTGCAAGGGGCTTAAGGTGTCTCTGCCCGGAACCTTTGTCTGGTGGGAGCCAACGTGGCCATTTCGTTCTTTCTATCCTCGACGAGCTCCCAAAAATGTTGCGCTCTCCGCTGTCGCGTTTGTTGCACTCTCTCACACTCGCACTCTCTCACCCGCGAACGCGCCGCGCACTTCCGTTTCCGGGAATAAAGACCCGTTAGTCAACGAATAGATTTAATAGAAAGTTCTCAGTACAGAAAAACACGTTTGTATGGCTCCAAGGCCCGGCGCAGAATCTGAAAAGCGACAGACAACAACAAGCTCGTCGTCAAGCCCGTCGTCAGAGACCGCTTCGCGACTGCCTTTTCGAGGCTTCTACCGGGCGTCTCAGCACGGGCGCAACAATATGAACATGGGTCCTAGTCTTAACGGTTACCAATATATACTGGTTATAACGTGAAAAGGGCATCATGCGTATGGAGGGATAGAAATAAAAGTAAAATACTGACAACAATTGTTAGTAGTTAGTTAGTTGTCTGTTCTATTGCTTATAGCAGCCTTAGAGGCTGAGCGCATACTATCGACTTTACATCGACTAAACTCTTTAATCGATGTCGAGCAGCAACAACGATTTCTTATTAACTAAATAATTTAATCGAGGACTATATATTATTACAGAATGAGTGTGTGCGCCTCCCATCTCTCCCCCTCCCCTCTCCCTCTTCCTCTTCACCTCTCTCTCTCTCCTCCACTCCCTCTCTCCCCTTCTCTCCCCCTCCCTCCTGGACTTTCAAATTCTCGAACCTCATTATTTTTTTCTTCCATGATTGCGATTTCTTTATTTCGATATCACGTATTAGCTGACTAACATCTGCGACCGTAAACCCATACCAAATAAAAATTTCTAAATTCGTCTATTTACTTTCCCTACATAAAGTTTTATCAAAATCAGAATTTTCGGATTTGCGAGGTTTTCTTGTTAGATTATTTTGAACGCCATAATTATCTACAGAATCAGATGAACAAAGAGAGAGATTTCATTAAAGAGCCAAGCCTATGGAGACATGATATAGAGAAAAAAAGTAAATTTTATGCTGAATGACTTGTATTGATCCTTGATTGAAAACAACGATGTTAAATTGTCGCAAGCTAAGAAAAAAATAATTTTTAATTATTTCTTACCAATTTCTTTACAAAATGTAATTGATTTCATTTCATTACTTTTAATCAAAAATTCACATTGCTAAAAATGTTAAAATGTTGTTTTAAAATTATACTTTAAAATAAAGGCAGATTTAGCCCTAAAAATGACTCAAAGTGGCCTTCAAATTAACAGAAAAGAAAAGATGTAATGAAAACGAACTGTTGATACTGTTGTGTTATGGATGCATCCATCTATCATAATCCACTAACCGAATTTAATAATTATCAAAAAAATTTGATTTCGTCATACTGTGTAATTAAACTTAAAATTATTAATTTACGAATTAAGAAAGGAAATTTCTTTGATATATTTCATCAAGGTACATTATCAAACAAGTATGACGTAAAATAATTGATTTAATATGTTAAACAAAAAGTACATTATTAATTAATTTCTTATTTTTGACATTATAACTTAAAACAGTAAAAAAATTAAAATTTTAAACATGTATAAACAAACCTTTCCTAATATGGTACCAGTTTTTCCTCGTATTAATTCCATACAATCTGGATTGCGCTTCTGGGGCATTAAACTACTGCCAGTAGAATATTTATCAGCAAATTTGACGAAATTAAACTCCTGAGTGCTGTATATAATCAAATCTTCACAGAAACGGCTTAAGTGCACCGCTGATAATGATGACCAAAATAGAAATTCAGCTAAAGACAATAAAAGAAAAAATAATTTTAGTTATATTTTATTACATTAACTAATATAAGGTATGTACCTTACTATATACTTTATTTTAATACAAATTACTAATTTTTGATTAATTTTAATTTTTAGTATTAAAACATTTATAGTTTTTAAGTAATTCAAATTTTTTAAACTTGAATTAAAATCCGTACTTTTCAAATTAAAAATTTAAAAAATAAATTTTTTGAAACTTGTAAATTAAAACTACGATTATTAGAGAAATAAATAAACAAAATTGTGTTTTTTAATTAATTTTAAATAAATCCTATTTTAATAAAATGTTAATTTTAAGCTTAATTACAAAAACTACGGGGTACTATCCCTTCGTTGTCTAAATAAAACTTTATGGTTCACTAATGCAGGTAATAAAAACATGAAAGTATAGAAGCATATAAATAATATTTTATTTATTTGAAATTCAAATATCTCTTAAATTAATAACTTTTCCAAAACTACTTCCTTATACGGAATAAAAACTACGAAGGTCAGTACGAAAGTATGTATGTAGGTTTATTGTTTCTCCCCCGTAGGGCTTACAAGGCGTTTTTTTTCTGAGGAACGTACCCAAACCTCTACATTACCAGATGGCGTTTTTTAGGGCCGTACCCAACCCTTTACATCTATCGTCTTCCTACCCGACCTGACCATAGCGGCCTTTTACATTCTACTCCCTCCCTCCCTTCCTCGCCCTTTACCACTCCTTCCATTTCCCCTCCTCCTCATTCCATGCGATCTCCCTTCCGTCCACCCACAATCTCCTGTTCTCCACCCGCGTGTTTCTACCCTTCGCTCTCTCCTCTTTAGCCTTCTCCAGCAGCTTTCATCTCATCTTCCTTTCCTCCAGGAACAGGTTTTCATCCACCCCTATACCTTACACCCGCCTAATAACCCCATAACTATCCAGTAGCTCTTCTCTCTCCTTTTCATCTTCTAACTCCACTATTAAGACCTCTTTCCCTCCCTCCCCGCTTCTTTCCCATACCCTACCAATTCTCGGCATTTTGATCACCTTCTCTGCCACCCTTTCCATCAAGCCCCTCCTTTTGTCCGCGTCCCTCCCGTCCAGCCCCCTCCAGACCACGTTCCTCTTTCTTCTTTCTCTTTGCACTGTTCTTCTCTTTGCTCCTCCTCCAATCTTTTCACTTTCTCCGTCAGGCTCTTCGACTTCTTGCTCTCTACCTTCTCTCTTCTTTCTACCCCCTTATGTGGCTCTTCACTCTTCACCTTGTACTCCATCTTCTCCGGCGTCTTCGGTTCCCCTACTTCCCTCTCCACGTCCGCTCTTTCTCTCCCTCTCTGCTCCTCCCCTCGTCCTGCCGGCACATTCTCGCACGTCCTCGCATACCGGCTCTTCTCTTTGCCTCTTCATCCACCCATCTTCTGATACTCTCACCTTTGTCCCAGACAAGCTTCCTCTCTTCCTCTCCCCCTACCTTGAAATTGCTCCACGCCTCTTCTTTCTCTGATGCCGCCTGCGCCCCCCCATCCTTCTTCTCTCCTGCGGGTATTCCTCCCGGTTTTTTCCGCCGCTCCTCTTCGCCGCACCTCTTTTCCGGTTTGGTCCCTGCCTCACTCCTGTACCCTCTCCTCTTTCAGCCCCCCTTTCCCTTCCCTCAAGCAGCCTTCTAATATTTTCCAGTTCGTCCGCTATCCTACCCCACACCCTCATCATGCTCTGCGACTCTTTCATCCTCCGCTCTCCTCAGCACTCTCCGTTCGATCTTCCACCTGTTCTCGCGGGTCCCTACTTTCACCTACAAACATAACTTTCTCAGACCCTGCCTTCCTCTCTTCCTTCTCTCTCATTCTCCTCTAACCCCTGAGTGTGTTATATGTGTATGTGCGCACCCATTCAGACATTGTCCTCCCCCTTCTTTTCCCTACTTGATTTGCTCTCTCCTTGACACCGCCTGCTCTTACTTTCCTCTCTTCTGCTTTTCTCCACGCCTTTCTGCAGTTTTCTTAAAATCTCTCTTCACTTTGCTATCTTCTTTCCGGCCTCTCCGTCATATATACTCTTCGCCATGTTACCATCTACCTGCCATCGACGTCCGTACTTCTCCTCGATCGACCCTTCTTCTCGATCCATCGATTCGGTGATCGATTTCACCCGCTCCATCTCATTGGCCGTCTTGCTGTGCACTTGCGCGCTCGCCTTAAGGCTCCGGCCTGCTCTGCTCGCAGCGCGCTCTAGCGCATTCCGTCCTACCGTCCCGCAGTGGTG